GGACCGCCACGTAGAGACGAGTGCACCGCCGCCGGAACCACCCAAAAAGGTGGCCGGACGCTCTCTCACTCTCCCATTCTTTGCCGGAGAGTGGCGGCCACTCTCAGAATCTTGTGGAGGCGCGTGGAGGAGCGTGTAAACTCAGATGGAGGTGAGCCACCCACCGTTGCGTTCGTCTTTCCGTCCTCTTTCCAACCATATATATATCGCCCCATTCCGAGATCGGTAAGTCTTCGAAAAGTCTCCGACAGTGCTGACTGCGCATCTTCCTCGCGATTTCTCGATCTTGAACTTTTACAAAATATTGAAAAAATACACAGAAATTCCAAAAATAAACAAAACCAACAAGGAGGAAACCTAATCATATGGGATTAGCCTCCTTGTTACAAATCGAGAAATACATGAGAGACCCTAACCATGGATTAAAGCATTTTTCCGATTAAAATTTAAACTTTTATGAAAATGAATTATAAAATACACATGCTAGATTCATACCATAATCCTAGAACCCTAGGTGCCACATTTCAAGAAGCAAAACTAATTACATGAATAGTGAAACTAGATTCACATACCAATGTACAGCCAAGGCTCTGATACCAATTGTAGGAAATCTTAGATTTATGCGGAAGCGGTTTAGGACATAGTACATTGGTATGCTTACCGAATCATCATTGTTTCACAATTACCTCTCGGTGCGCAGGTCTCGTGTAGAATCTTCCCTTGTAGAATTCCTCTTCACGAACAGCTCACATCAGCGCCACAACACGAATAACCTCCTTGAAGCTGGACTGTGGAAGATCTTCCAGACTATCTCTCGAGGAGGATGAGATGGTTGTGTGGGCAACCGTTCAGATGATGAACGTCTGCCTCTTGGGGTTTGTTTCTGATGATCTGTTCACCTTGGAGGCACAAGAGGAGAAAACTATGAATATATACGCTTAGGTCTTAGACATAACTCAACCCTAAGCCTCATGGGCTCATGTGTCACTGAAGCCCAATAGAACTTTAGTGACCAAAAGAGCATATATCCAACATTATCTGCATGCAAACATCCACCAAACGTCAAAACCACCTTCAACTTCGATGTGCTACTACCACTCAGAAGAACAGGTCACATGGAGGAGAGAGAAACTGAGTAGACAAAGATCAAGGGCATTTGTGTAACAAAAATAGCGCCAAAATTTTTACTTCCCTAGTTCTCTCCAAATAGCACCTCCAAGGTAGCCTTTGCAAACATTGATTTAAACAAAAAATTACATAGAGCTCACTATTTCATGGGTAAAGAGGTTGCCTGAATTTTTTTGTCAAACTCTTCTATCAAACGAGACTTAATTAACTAATCACTCTCACTTACCCATCAATCTCCTTAAAAATCACCTACCAAACACCCCTGTCATGAAAACCTAAGAATATTACTCTTCTAGTGATATTCTTGGATATTCAAAAAAAATTAAATTTTTTTTCTCATAACCTGCTTTTTCCGAAATTTTCTTAGGTAGAGTTTGGTTAGGGAGAAGTGAAAATTTTGTTAGCTAAGTGCATGTGGGAATCTAATGAAACCATGTTTGGTTGAAGCTTTTAGGTAGATTTTCCCATCAAAGAGCTTTGCCTAGCAAATTAGGAAGACAAGCAAAAAATCAGTTTTTGCACTGTTGAGAAAGCCATTTAAATAGGTGGAATTTCTCTGAAAAATTGGATAACTGAAAAAGGTGATGAAGAGCATGACAACTTTACCCCTGTTTCTTATTGACACAATGAAGCTGCATAAAAGTTTATCCATGCATGAGTCAGTACCATAGTAGACACAAGCCAATCAATACCCCCAGTATGATCCTAACATATAAGCCGAAAGTATATTCTAAGGTCAATGGATGTCAATCAACTGCATACCTTCAATATGACTAAAAGTTGTGTTAATTGACGCGAGCCATTTATCTCTTTCACCTTGCATCCGTTCTATAAGCATTCTCCTTTTATGATCCTCAGTTTATTTTGCTTCCCTCATGTTAGAATTGAATATCCAGCCAGATGCAAGAGACAACCATACTTTGTATTTACAAAAAAAAAAATTTCTTTTCTATTCTTGCTTTCTTGCTCTTTTTCTTTTTCTCGTGATCTCTTGATCTACATTTCATTCAAACTATCAAAGGCTATTTATAACCTATAAAACTGACCCACATAACTCCACACATAACACCCTCATTACTTTATAACTGACATAACCGACTCATTAATATTCTAACTTACTCATTAATATTCTAACTGACATAAACTTAAAGACATGACTCTTCACCAGAAGACTCTTCACATTTCGATTTTCTGTTTTCTATTTTTATCTCATTAAAATTTAACACAACAAAACTCCCCCTTAAATTTTAATTCTTCTTTTTTGAATTTTCCACCAGTTGATTTTTCTCGCGCTGCTTCCATGTTGCACTCCTTTCTTCAATTTTTGTTTTTTGTCCGGCGGTTTTTTCATTGGTGGAAGATGGACAATCTTGAATTTTTCTCCGTCGACCTCATCCTCCGATATACTTCCACATCCATTCTTACACATATGATCATCACACAAGTCATCATACTGATCAGTATCAGTATCAGTATCACTATAACGTCCCATTAGTTTTACAAGACCTATGCCAATTTTAATACTTTCAGATTCAACATGTGCTACATTAATAGCACGTTGGGTCTCTTCAACCACAGTAACCCCATCACTCATTGAGGACCGTTGATTCCCATCATCAAGCAAATAACTCAACGCATCATTTTCTGATTCCGCCCCACGATCTTCTTCTGGTTTACGCTTGAGCCAAAATGATTCCCCCATAAAAGTAACTCTTGGCTCCTCATCGCCGGGTTCCCTATCACAATCACATATTCCATTTTTCCGCTCTCAGTTTCTTCATTGTCGGGTTCTTCTTCAACAAGCCCAGCTTCCACGTTCCTCATCGATAGAATCTCAGACAACCGTCCTCCAGGGAAATGGTCTCTTTTCGGTGGTGTCGACATCTTCCACTTCCACCATAAATTCAATGCAGTCTCCGACTTCTGACTTCTAACCTGAACCGCGTCTATGTCGGTCTCCGACATCAACCTCATCACGCCGGGATCGAGCTCTTCTCCAAAACATGAACTCGGTGATTTAGCCAGGATCTCCCCCATCCCAGTTATCAACATGAGACTCGGATTCACAGTCTCCTCCAAGCCGGTCTCCATCAAGCATCTCGGATTCCACGCTTCTCGTTCCTTTGCTGGCTTCTCAAGCTCCTTCGACATCTTGTCTTCTTCCTTGTCCTCTCTATCCGTCTTCTGAATTGACTCGCCGCTCTCAGCGTCTTCGATCATGGCTCCCATAGCCGCATTCATCGTCTTTTTCTCTGATTCATCTCTCTCACGCTCCAACGCGTCGATCTTCTCCGCGGATACATTGCCGTTGGCAACCTCGGACTTCGCCATCTCGGTCTCTTCTTCATCCGCAAGATTCTCCTCATCTTCATCATCATCATTGATGATTTCATCTTCTTCTTCATCAATCAGATCAAACCGTCCAGGTAGATATTTCGCTATAAAGGCTATTTGAAAATTCTTCCACATGTTATTAAAATTGCGGCAGTCCCATGTACGGAACCATTTGATTGCGCTTCCTCTGAATCTACTCAAAGCTTCATGCCATTTGTCCTCTTCAAATGTTTTTTCTCTCCGAAAATATTCTTTTAGACAAAGTAAGAAGACCAATGCTTCATCTTTATCTCCATAAAAGAGTGGCACTTCCATCTCGTTCTTTTCCTCCATAGCCCAAGCTCTGATACCAATTTGTTAGAATTGAATATCCACCCAGATGCAAGAGACAACCATACTTTGTATCTAAAAAAAAAAAAAATTCTTTTCTATTCTTGCTTTCTTGCTCTTTTTCTTTTTTTCGTGATCTCTTGATCTACATTTCATTCAAACTATCAAAGGCTATTTATAAGTTATAAAACTGACCAACATAACTCCACACATAACACCCTCATTACTTTATAACTGACTCATTAATATTCTAACTGACATAACTGACTCATTAATATTCTAACTGACACAAACTTAAAGACATGACTCTTCACCAGAAAACTCTTCACATTTCTATTTTCTATTTTTATCTCATTAAAATTTAACCCAACACCTCAGCCGTTGCCTTAAATCTAATGGTCTCTCTTTCTATTTCAGCTTCGTGCGATACCTCACTGCACATGTCTGACAAAAAGAATCGAGAATACATGTTGAAAAATGCATTATATTTACTAAAAGGTTAATTTCGTAATTGTCATTATTTTTCCCATCAAAGATTTATTTTCAACCAAACACACATCAAGATATTTAACCCAATTTTCCTAGTAATATTTTGTACTACCAAACAACTTTTTTTAAACTTTCCTACCAAACTAACTTTCCAACATCTTTCCTTGTAATTACATTTACTCACTTTAAAAAAATTTCTCCCGAACCGAACACTACCTTAACAATTTTTATACCGATAAATAAAATTACCAGTACCAAACGTCCGTTAAAAAGTTGTTAAGAAATTACGTAGAAATCAATAAGTCACCTCAACTTCCAAAGTTCCACACATTTGGTTGAAGGGGAATTATATTTTCAAAAAGGTCCATGATTAATTTGCTTATTAACCGAGGTAACTAACGCCTATTCAGTTTTATGATCCACAAGAATGTTATAAATTGCAAAAACACACAAAAAAAAGCACAAAAAAAAAAGCACAGCTAAATTGGTGATAAAAGAAAGGTGATCATACTACTGCTGCAAGTTAAAAAGTATTTAGGAATTCTTGTGTGCAAAACTATAATGCACAACTCAAAACATTTCTCATTTTCTGAGAAGTTAGTTACATTATCCAGCATCCTAGTGTAACTAAGACTAACCAACACAAAAACCTCATATCTTTCTTTCTTAGCAGCTAAGGGGTTAATTATAGAGAAGCGGGTCAGCTGAACTATGCCAGGGACTATAGCTTTTGACTTGTTAGCAGAACCATGATGATATTAGCAAAAGATGACACTAGTTGATTAGGTCAATATGACTGATGAGGCCATATAAAGAACTCAGCTGCTGCTGCTGGTGGCAGTGCAGTCATTCCAGTTGCATTGGTTGAAGTTACAACTGACTCAGCATTGGAAGGATGAAAATGGTGGAAGAGATTGTGATGATAATATGCTGTTGTTGAATCAAACGGAATTCCATAAGGGATTGAAGCAACTGGCTGATGAATGGCTGAGAAATTGATGCTGCTACTCACGTTTGCACACTGTTGGTTCTGCTGAGTACTGCTCAGAGGGGGTTTCTGCTCTGATTCTAGAGAAAGCTTCAACCTTTTTGCTGCCCCACCAACTGGAAGAGAACTCTTCATTATGGCTTCCACATCATATCTATTCATCTCAAAATTTGTTACAGCGTTTGCACCTCTAAACTTTATTGCTGCAATATCGTATGCCTCTGCTGCTTCCTCTTCAGTTGCTGTTACCATGTGAAATGGATTAGATGATTGATTATATTTAGAATATTCTACTTAGTATAAATGAAAAGAACTGTTTTAATCTTTAAGTTAGCAAAACTACAATAAAGTTCTAGATTATACCAGTCATTCTTACGTTTACCATATATTCTATTCTAACAATCCAATCATCATTTATAACATTGGAACCATGGAAGCTAAAGTATTTACCGAATGTCCCCAAGTATAAATCTTTGTTTCCAGCCACACGGCCAATTCTTGCTTGCCATCTACCCTGTTGATGATGCCTGCAGGATCCAAGAAATATAAAAACATAGGACCATGGGTACGTAAGTTACACAACAGTAACAAAATGTAAACACGCATTAATAATATGTTAAATCATTTAAAATTCCAAACCTTGTAACACCCCTGTATATGGAAGCTCCCCTTGAAAAACCACTACTTTTCCTGCATGAATGGAAATCCAATTTTCAATAGTTGCATAGAAGTACTACAGTGTTAAAAGTTTAATAAGGCCAACTCATGCAAACCTTCGCAGTGATGCAATAAATTCTTGCTTTGTTGCATGTTTCATCTCTTCCAATTCCTTTGCATAATTAGAAACCTGAGAAATAAGATAGAAATAAGCTAAGTGATGCCAAGTTCCAATAACGATCCATTTACAAGAAGTGACTCTTACAGGGAAGTTGGTGGTAGCGGTGGGACCCCAGTACTTTAGAGCTGCCAAATCATAAGCTCTCGCGGCCTTTTCTTCCTTGTCATATCCACCTGATAGCCATGATAATTTTTACTACGTTACAAAAACATCTCTTCAAAATAATACGACAATACTCCAGCTTAAGATAGGTTGTGAGAAGCATTCTGGAACAAAAATAACTGAAAACATTGCTTACCCAAATAAACTGTAGAAGAGTCAAATACGTGAATGACAGCCAGAAATGCACCAAGTCACGTTCCATGCAGAGGAAAAGCCAAGAAATCAAAGATCAGCCAATGGAATAGTCAAAATTATCTGCCCAAAATTACTTTTTTAGCCTAAAAATGCAAATGACGAAAGAAAAGTGGTCCTATGCTCGCCAATTGCCACGGTGCATGCGCACAAGCAACTTTTTTTTTTTTTTTTACCTTTTTTTTCCCTCTCTCTAACACCCTTTACGAAGGACTGAAAACAACTATACACTGGATGAGTTCCATCAACCCCATCATCCTCTTTTCTCTCTATAAGAACTCATCAAATTTTAATTGTACCAAAAAGGGAAACTATTAACACTAATTTAAAGATAAAAATTGATTTTATTTGTTTTAAAGTATAGTTTTGAGTGTCTTTTCCTGTTGATAAGTTTTCAATAATCCCACTAGGTAGCTCATAGTCAAAGACATATACCGGCACTTAAAAACAGGAGGAAAAAAGAAACGCCGAATTGTCCACTTCTCACTGGATACATTATAGACAGAATGCTTTATAATTTTATTTTGGCCCTCTCTTTCTTGCAATAAAGTGATCATAATATTTTTTATTAATGTTATTTGTCTCTGCAACATAAGATCTAAGAAATCCCGTGAGTTAGTTTCAGAACCAAGAGGACATTTTTATCAGAGGGGCCAGACCCACTGTCAAAAACCTTTATAAGCTAACAGTGGGAACGCTCCACCACCTCAACTGTAAGCAAGTACAAATTTGAATATGGGAGTGATGTGGTCAAACCCAGCTTTCACTGGAAAGTGGAAAGCAAAAGCAAAAGTTAAAGCCCCTTAACACAACAAATATCAGTCATGACTTATGACTAATAAGGAAGAGAGATATTGGACATAGTGGCGTCAACACCAAAGGTGTACGAAACATGAGAGGGTAGAGAGGATGCACAGATACCTGAGAGATTAGTCTCTTCAGTAGCATGTCTAAGCAGACAATAAAGCAAAGGCAACCGACTCACATGGGGCAAAATGGCGGCACATTGTATCAAATCAATTGAAAGAAAAAAAAAAAATTGCAGAGAAAACGCAGTGAAAGTAACAAGTACTAGCAGCATTAGCATTAGTATATAATGTTATATACCACCATCAGTCAATCATAAAAAAGACTGTTGTGATAGAAACCCAGGTGTCCTACAACACTTCAACCATTAATGCACCTTCAATGCATGCAAGCCACTTTTCAGTCTTACAGAATCTAACCCTATTTCTCTTTCTTTTCTTTTCTTTTTTCATTATTCTCTAAACTTTGTTCATTGAGAGATAGAGATGGAGATGGAGAGAGAAAGAGACCTTGACGCCCTTTCCTTGCTTGACCCTCTCTTCTGCAACTGTTATCCCATAGATGCGCTTCATATCTACCCGTCCATCGGTGTCTGCAGCAGAATCAAACATGAAATAGATGTGTGAGAAGAAGACAAATTTATGATCTTGACCTCGTTCACACACCATGGTCAACAACTAAATATCTATGCTATCTTCTACTTTTTCCAAAGTCCACAAAAGATCCTTTGGGGGTGAAAAAAAATAAAACTTTCATTTCATAAGCATAATAATATAGAAACAAAATAAAACAAAAACAAAAACAGTATTCACATAAGCACAACGGTAACCTGGTAACTCCTCTGTAAATTGAAGTTCGCTGGCCAAAGGTATCGGCGATCTTCTTAGAGCTATCGGAATCCGCCGCGACGACGGCCTTCTCGGAACTCTGCGAGACTCCGAGAGACAAAGTACCGGTAGCTGCGGCGGCGGTGGAGGCAGAGAAGGCGAACTCGTTCCCTGATGACTCAATGGAATGAGTCCCGAACTCGTTGCCGCAAGGTTGCTGCGCTTTTCCGATGGAGGCAGAGTCATCAACCTCGGAGCCAGAGTTGGTGGAGAAAGCTTGGAAGGCAGTTATGGCCTTGAGATCTTGGTGGTCGCCGCCGAAGTAAGCGGAGCCACCACCATGGTGGTCGTATATGTGAGTGAGGGAAGAGTCTTGGGTCTCCGTTTGGCTATCGGAGTAGCGCATCATGGAGGAAGAATCGCCGAGAAAATCCTCCAGCTTCGGCGGGGGTGGTGGCTGGTTTAGATTCTGCAACTGCGATGATGAGTCCATGAAGCTCGTTAGAAAAAGAGACGGTGGTTCCGCCATGGTTCCGTGCCCTTGTTCCTTATTACTCTCGTTCAGATTTTGCTCCACTTGCGCACCGTATAATACCTCAGACTTTGGGTTTCCCCACCCTACAAAAAAAAAAAAAAAAAATTAAAGCTTGAGAAGATAATGGTCAATAGTCAACAATATCTGCAAAACAGAGTGCAGAATAAAAAGCTGGGTCGGGTCGGTGCGGTGCGGTAGTAGCAGTAGCAGTAGCAGCAGAAGTAGCTGCTACGGTTATAGTTATGGTTACCGTTGTTATACAAGTTATCGAGGAAGTAATGATGATGAGAAGAAGTAGCTGAAGCGGCGTCGTATTGAACGAACTGTGGTTCGGAGGACCTGAGCATTTCCATGGGCGACAGCGAAAACGATAGCCAGTTAGTCGCACGAGCCATTTGATAAGAGTAAGAAAGGTCGAAGGATGTTGTTACAAACTGTAGAATGCTGTTCAAAGTTTTCTGAACAAGAACAGTTTTATAAAAACAAAACCAAAAAAGGCTTCGATGTGTACAATAAAGGCCCAAATGCGTTACTCTTTGAACCAACAGAGCTAGCTACTCCACCATGCGGGTGTACTACTACTATTATTTAATTAAAAAAGGGTGAAAAAATAAAATCAAGTGTTTTGTTTTGGGGTGGGGAAATTAGATGAAGAAGCAGAATGCATGCAGGCTCTTTAGTAACTTGTAAGAGAGAGAGAGAGAGAGAGAGTTGAAAGAGTTATATATAATAGGAAGCAAGCGTTTCAGCGTAAAAGCAGAGAGAGAGGTGTGTGTGATTTGGAATAGAGATATAGGGAGAGAAAGTAGAAAGGGGAATGAATAAATAAAAAAATGAAGAGAAGTGACTTTTGGGCCTGCGGTGAAGAAAATTTGTCTCAAGGCAAGGTCGCGAAAGATCCGGGCTGGCGGAAAATTGAAGGATTTGTTTTGATAGGGGTTTTGGTTTTAGTTTCGGAGATTGTTCTTTCATTTACTAAAATGCCCTCCGGATTTAATGGTGTGTGCGTTTCGCACACACTTGTCTTACATGCAGCTCTCCCGGAAGCTGGTTTCTGTCCACAAACAATATTCAAACCAGTAACTCTTGTTCCCCTACTTTCTGCGTTTTTCTTAAATATGCTTCCCTTTTTTAAAAAATATTTTTTAAATAAAAGCGTCTCTTAAAACAAATTAATATAAATGCACACTGGTGGTCAAAAATGAAATAGGAATTTGGGACTAAAACTCTCTTTTCATGAGAAGGAAAAAAGTCCTATGTACCAAACAAAAGTCGTGTTTCCACGTTAGGTGTGTTACAATAGTGGATATTTATCACTACTGGAAAAGTCGCGAATAGCAAGGGAAATTTGTGAGGGAAAAATTCCCTTGCAAGCTGCGACGGAATTTGCAAGGGAAAAACAATTGCGAGGGAAAATAGGTATGATTTCCGTTACTACATTTCCGTCGGAGAATCCCTTACAGTTCGGTCGCAATTCCCTCGCAATTTGCAAGGGAAATTTAGTCCCTCGCAAGAATCATAAGTCTGCGACGGAAACAGCGAGTGAAAAAAATGGCGACGGAAGTTCCCTTGCAAGATCTAGGATCTGAAAATTGCAACTGAAATTTCACAATTTCCCTCGCTGTTTCCCTCGCAAACTGCAAGGGATTAGTATTCCCTCGCAAATTGCGAGGGATGTATATTCCCTCACAAAATTCAAAAATAACATATTAATCAAATTTAAAAGGGCTTAATTTAGGAATTTGCCATTATAGGTAGGAGAAGACTATATAGAAAATATGCAATATGCGTATGATAAAAAGTCATTAAATGCGTCGTCGCATCCTTTGTGGCAGACATTGAGTTCATGTAGTGATAGTAGTGCCTATGTCAGCTAATCGTAGGAAAAATAAGATTATGTTGAAATTTAATGTGTGTGTACAAATGAGTTGGCTGTGAGAAGCAAAGGAAAATGTCTTAAAGAGACATGTTCTAGCCATCATCGTCGTCATCACTGTACAAATGAATGAAAAGTGACGCATGCTTCTGATGCGACCAAAAAGGGCAGTGGTCTTTGTAGTTGGGCTTTAACCACTTAATTAAAAGTAGAGTTCAGCCCAATAAAAAAAGCTAGGGTTCCCAGTTCAAGATATTCAGCAACCATTTTTTATGTGTGTGAATATCATTTTGAAGACAAGGGAGTGTAAAAATCAATCACTATAAAAGAAAATAGAGAGGGAACCATTTCAGAAACTTCACAGGATAATTAAGGAAGGAGCAGTCTTTGATCATTCTACAATATCTCCTTCATGTACCGTCTGATCGAGCTGAGATTTGTTGGCATATTCCCGACTCATCATTCTTCATATCCAACGGTGGCTTTTCTGGTTGGAGGTCTGTAACATCACCAAAAATTCCAAACCAAGGTGGTTTGTGTGTACGATTCTACTGTAGCCAACGATCTTGAGAGAATGTTTTTTTTTCTTAAGTTCACCGTTGGATCGTGGTGAAATACTTTAAGCAAAGGTTACACTCATTATACTTCATGTACTAACGGTCAGTTTGTCGATTGGAGCTCTGAATAGGGACTTGTGCAATTACAAACAGAGGATGTCGGTATTCCTGCTCTGTATCGAGCAATGAGATACAAAGGGGAATATCTTTTTGCTCAACCGTTGGATTGTTCTCAAAATTAGTGAGTGTCCTCCTATCTTGTATTTAATTAATCTGACTGTTGCGATTTTGAAGTTGTTACTTCTGGTAATTGGAATATATTTTGGACATAAGCTTGTTTATATGTATACCTCTTCAGTTTTTGGTACAAGTACTTGTTGAGTTATTTATTTAATGTGACATTTGGGATTGTGTTCGTCTTTCCATATTCTTCAATTGTTTACATCTCATGGAGTCTGGTAAAGAACACGCTCCATCCATCCTTATCGTCATCACTGTACAAACAAATGAAAAATGTCACTCATATATATATATATATATATATATATATATATATATATATATATATATATATGGGACATGATATTCTTGCACCAGAGTAAGAGTTAGAAGTCTTTCACTCATTCTTGATTATTGATCCACTTGTATCTAATGGCTCACATTATTAAAAAACTATAGCCCGTAGATATAAGTGAGATCGATGATAAATATTGAGTGTAACTTACAGTTAATTTGTTCTTCTATTTTTTTGTCTTCAATATATATTTTTTCATTTAGACTATTGTTATATTTTTTATTTTTAATCTTTTTTGTCAGTGCTGTGATTTTTAATATACTTGATCTTATTTTTTATTTAGATACATTTGATTTTTTTTCCTATTTTTTCTTTTAGTCTTTTATTAAGTATTCTAATTTTTCATTTACCAAAAAAAAGTATTCTAATTTTTCATAACATATGATTTTTTTTATCTCTTTATGTTCTTATTCTAAGAATGGTAGAATAGTTATACTTAATTAATTTTTTAATGGTGTTAAAGAGGGGTGTGGATGAAAAAAACCACAATGGATTAAGTGATTAAAAAAAATAGAGGTGTAAGTAATTAAAAGTAATACCACAAGGGGAATTTTTTGAACTTTTCTAAATAAATAAAGTTATATCTTATAAAAAAATTTCTCATTTTTTTAACTTTTTGTGACCAGTTTTTTGCACATATATATAAACTTTGTCATATGATGATATTTTAATAAAATATAAAACTCAATGTGTATTTTTTATTTTTTTCATTATGTATAATTTTTATGGGTGATTAATATATGGTTGAAATCTGTGTAAAAGTTATAATTGTAAAAGTATGTATATAAGTGAATTATTGAATTAATAATTTCTATTTCCAATAGTATATCGTGTAAAAGCTCTTCGTCCCTTTCCCCCCTTTCACTTTCACTTTTCACCTCCATCCATTTCCCCCCTTGCATTTCTTCCCGTTTCCCTCCATCAGTTTCCCTCCATCAGTTTCTGCACCTTCGACCGGTTGTTGCCCTCTTCGTCGTCTCGTCTCTGTTGAAGGTTCAGCGGTTGAAGTATTTGATATTTGCTGGGCGAGCGAGTTAGGGCTTCTCTGTCTTCTCTCTGCAACTCTCTCTCTCTCTCTCTCTAAAATTTTATTTTCAAGTAAAAGGCGCTCTCTGCACCCTTGTTTTCGTGAAAGGTACGCTCTCTGCACCCTTATTGAAATGTGTTGTTTCATAGACACTATGTTGAACTCTTCTGTATGGTGTTCATTTCACTGCTAATGTTCTACTTGGTTTTATAATTATGGTCAGTTTAGTATCTTCTTGAAATTTGGGTGAAAATTTTGGGATGAGATTCTCACTTTCTTGTACGAATTTTCGTGATGAAGTTTTCCCCTGAATTCTCGCCCTTGTGAACTGAAAACTAACATTTTTGAAAACCAAATTATGTAGATTTAGATTAACTGTTTACTCTTGTTTCTGCAATTGATTGTCCTCACACTTCTTTTGCATAACCTTTTGTTACTAAGCTTGTTTTTAATCTTTATCTTCCATTAATTTTTTTTTTCTATTTGGTAGGGTATTTTAATTTTCAATTTAGCTCAGTTTAACCTGTAGGCTTAATAAGTGGGGTCAGAAATGCAAATAAATTTGAATGTGTCAATAAATTTCAAACTTAACCTGCATAATTTATGTGGATAATTAAACATATTGACTCTATGAATTTAGCCTGTCCTGACAATCTTACTCAAAAGTCCAAGAGCATTTGATTAAGCCACATAAAATCTCTTTAGGAACGGTTTAATTCCAAGACCAAACATCATCCCAAGTCATTTTGCTTACACCTTTGCATCTTGACATTTCGTCTTAACAATCCTATACACCAAAAATAAAATAATAAATTAAATATTTAGTTTAGGTGTGTCAGTGGAGATGAATCTGGTGGAAGAGTTCAAAAAGAATGAAAAATCACTACATGCTTGCATGTTTAGATAGCATAAAAATTGGTTACCCTTTAGATTCCATCCTTTGTTAGTTTTATTCTATCTCTCACCATGGAAGTAGCATGGAGGCTTATTAAATAGAGGTGGTGCATTCTGGAGGGGCAATAGTTGAAATTCAGAAGTCTTTTGGGAGGATTGTAGAGCTCAAATTGGTTTAAGTTTTTTTTTCATGTAAATAAAACTCATGTAAATTAGAACTCCCTATTTACAGAAACTAACTCCTATAAAAACGTATAAATTGCGCAGATGATGTTTGACTGGTTCAATCAGAACAATGTAGGTTATATACTGATGTTATCATCATATAATATATAATCATAAATTTCATAGATTTCTCTCTCCATATTTTCGCGTCTGGATAGATATTATTTTATCATATATAATGCTGCATTTGCAAACTCAAAACAGTTTTGTATTGTGGCCGTTATAACTTCATGGTGGAATTAATATTCATAAAAGCCTAAAAAAAACTTGCCATTATCCAGTTCTCTCATTGATAAACATAACAGATTAATATAAGAATTTTATTTGGGTAATGCTACAGAGTGCTGGAGCTAGAGCCTTCATTGGATAATTGCAGTTAATTACATCCAACCAATTTTGAATGTTGTTCTTCAACTCATCAATAATAGAAGTGTACTATAATTTGATTACATCCTACACTTATTTCACTTGGTTTAAGGTTTTTTTTCAATATTTTTTTCTGCATGCAGACAATTTGCCTGTGAAACGTAAAGGGTGCTTTGATAAATTTGGAGGCCGGATTTACATAGAACTCAAATCTTATAAAATTAAAAAGCACCAAGTTAAGCAATCCTTATAGCTTTGAATAGTATAAAAGATTCAAAACTATTATTTTCCTTTTTATTCTTTTTATTTACCTAGTCGCCCACTATAAGAAGGAAATAGATATGTTAGAAAAACAACAATCCAAAAGTGAGTTTCTTTTAATAAAACTAATATAAAATTTTATATTAAAATCTATTAATTCGTATACTACTAGTATCTTTTATTTTATAATATTTAAATACCTACACTAACTTTTATTTATGTGAATTTGGCGCAGTTGGATCTTGTCTGGGATATTCTCTTCTGCATCCTTAGCACGTGCCATTTGTTTTCAACAGTCGTTGTTTGTATATTGAGGTAACAATCTACAAAGCATATGTTATTGTGTGTTTGCGTTATGATGCATACCAAAGTATACATGTTAAACTGTGTCCCGTAATATGTCCCCCTTATCTTGTGTACTTTCCCATTCTTTGTTTGCTCCCCCTAAATGTATGTCCCCATTTTCTGGTGTACTACCCTCATTCTCTGGTTGCTTGCTGGAATTGTTGAATGCATGTGTTTGTTTGCCACTTACGGCAGTAAGTTGCATCATATATGGGGCAATTACTCGGTGTTTGCTGATATTTGAATTCCACACTTACTATAGAATCTGATGTCGTGATATTTATGGTATTTGGCCTTGTGTTTTCTGATATTTACAAAGTCAGGAGTATGGAAGACGATCATGATAGGAGTTGGATGTACAATCGTCTAACTGATAGAAGACAACTAACTCGAGCATTCTTGGAGGGTTTGGAAACGTTCATCCAATTTGCTCTGGAGCAAATAGGTACATCAAGTAACGTTATCAGTTGTCCGTGTGTGAAATGTAAGTGTTTTAAATTTCAAACGCCGGACAAAGTCAGGGAGCATCTGTGTAGATGGGGCTTCATGCCGGACTATGAATGTTGGCATATCCATGGGGAAATTCAGCAGGCACATGCTATTCCAGGAGGTTATTATGGGGAAACTAGTCAGCGACACAACCTCAACGAATATGAACAATTGGTTATGGATGCTGCGGGACCGTTGATTGGGCAAAATTTTGAACCCGATACTCATGTCGAACCATCCTACATGGCAGAGGATCCTAATCCGGAAGCGGAAAAGTTTTACAACATACTTCAAGATGCTCAACGTCCATTATGGGAAGGTTGTGAACATATTCAACATACTGAACATACAACGCTATCAGCAACCCTAGCAACACTACAGTTGAAGAGTGATCACCATATGAGTGAGTCTGCTTACAACGGCTGGATGCAGCTCATGCGTCAGGTTGTTCCTAAAGACAATAACTTGGCGAAGGATTTTTACCAAGCAAAGAAAAAGGTGAAAGAGCTTGGGCTCGGATGCACAAAGATTCATTGCTGCCCCAAAGGATGTATGCTATATTACGGTGATTACATTGAGCGCACCAAATGTGAGTTTTGTAAGCATGACAGGTACAAAGTTGTGAGGGACGGAAGGAAAACGACACGTGAAGCCTATAGCAAGATGTGGTACTTTCCTCTTGTGCCTAGACTTAAAAGATTGTATGCTTCCGAACAAACAGCTTGTCACATGAGATGGCACCGTGAGCATTGTAGGGATGAAAAATATGTGACGCATCCATCAGAAGCCGAAGCTTGGGTTCATTTTGATGAGGCGAATCCTTTGTTTGCAGCTGAGCCACGTAATGTGCGTATTGGTTTATGTTCGGATGGGTTTGCTCCTTTCAATCAGACGGGTAGGAATTATTCTTGTTGGCCCGTCATTGTGACGCCGTATAATCTCCCACCTTGGATGTGCATGAGAAGAGAGTTTTTATTTTTAACGGCATTAATTCCTGGACCTTACAATCCAAAAAAGAAGATAGATGTATATCTAAGGCCTCTGATAGACGAGCTGAACATGTTATGGAGTGCAGGGGTTCTGACATATGATGTATCGTTGAGGCAGAATTTCACCATGCGGGCTGCCTTGATGTGGACAATAAATGATTTTCCAGCATATGGGATGTTGAGCGAATGGCAGACATCGGGGAAGCTTGCATGTCCGGTATGTTTGGAACAAAATAAGGGTTTTAGCTTGCAACACAGTCACAAGGTGTGTTGGTTTGACACTCATCGACGATTCCTGCCACTCGATCACCCATATAGGGGAAATAAAAAAGGTGTGTTTTGCAATATTTTATATACTGTGATGGACACCAAGGGAAAGACGAAGGACACTGTAAATGCAAGATTGGACGTAAAGGCGATTTGCAGAAGACCTGGTTTAAATTTGGTTGAAACTCCAACCGGGCGGACTTTGAAACCTCAAGCGCCGTACACACTGAATAAAGTCCAGAATTTAGAAATGTTGCGCTGGGTTAAGGATTTTAAATTCCCAGATGGTTATGCATCGAAGTTGTCAGGGTGTGTTGACATGAACGGGGCAAAGTTATTCGGTATGAAGAGTCATGATTGTCATGTTTTCTTTCAGAGATTGTTGCTGTGGGCTTTCAAAGCATTACCGAAGAAAGTGTGGAGTGTATTGACCGAACTTTCAATGTTCTTTAGAGAAATTTGTGCTTCTCAACTTAATGTTGAAAGGTTAAGACATCTGGAGTCGAGCGTGCCAACACTACTATGCAAATTAGAGATGGTGTTTCCTCCTACGTTTTTTGACTCAATGGAACATTTGCCTGTTCACTTGGCCTATGAAGCAAGGGTTGGAGGTCCACAACAATATAGATGGATGTATCCATTTGAAAGGTTAGTTTTTTATCCGAACATATTAATTGCGTCACACGATGCTACAAATTATCAAAACCCTAATATCTATTCATAGGTTTGTACGCACACTGAAGATGAAGGTCAGTAACTTGAGGCATGTTGAAGGATCTATCGCCGAAGCGTATCTCGTTGAAGAGACTGGTAAATTTGCATCGTACTATTATCCTCCTGAATGTATATCAACTTGGAGAGGAGTCCCTCGAAATGATGATGGCGGTGATACGAGTGGTCAGATATCGCTATTTAATTATCCAGGCCGATCTGTGGGAAGTCAAAGGGCATCAATTCTAGAGGGACGAGATAAGAACGTTGCGGAGTGGTACATTCTAAACAACTCAGCAGAGGTCGCTCCGTACATAGAGTAAGATTTCATTTTTGAACTTAGAGATGATGTTTCCATTACGCGACTATATTTGGTTTATGGGTAGTTATCCTCATGAGTTTTATAATATTTTTTTCCTTACAGAAAATTTTCCAAATGGACACGTTCGAATAATCCTTTATGGTCAGATTCCGAAGTTGATCAACACGTTACGTCTGAATTTCCTCAATGGTTTGAGGAGTACTTCATACAAAACCAATCGGTTGTCCATGATGTTGCATATATTTTATCAAGTGGAGCTGCAAGATTTGTCACCCGATTCAGAAAATATATAGTCAACGGATATAGATTTGCAACTGTAGAAGCGAATCAAAATATGTCATGTTGTAATTATGGTGTATGTTGTCGAGGTGGGCAAGTCGACGGTGCTAAGGGCGATTACTACGGGAAGTTAGTTGATATCATTCTTTTGGATTACAAGTTGGGCAAATCGGTTACTCTCTTTAAATGCGATTGGTTTGATAACACCTCACGTGGGACAAAAGTTGACCAGTATGGAAATGTTGAGGTCAATTGGTCAAGGAGTTATGCACTTGGCTACGACCCATTTATACTTGCTCAACAAGCGGAACAAGTATTTACACATTATACCCTACTTCCCAACAAGGGTGGAGAGGAGTTATCAAAACCAAAGCCCGGAATATTATCCCTAAGTCGATGGAGTCAGACTCAAATGATGTGACTGATCCATTTCAGGATGATGGGGAACATGAATTGCCTGTAAATGTTGCAGAGGATGATGTGCCAAGCAATCTTTTTGATTCCACTGGAGAGTTAGAGTTAATTCCTGTTATATTGGACAATGAGGAATCAGACGATGACGAACAAGATATTTATTCAGATAGCGAGCCTGAATTCGATGATTATGAGAGTCCAGAGGAAGGTGGGCAAGAAGAATTCGAAGAACAGGAATCGTCTGATTGATTTCAGTTATTCTTTCTTTAAGCTTATCTGTTGTACTAAATAATTTTTATTCACAGGCCACATGTTATATGTATTATACAATTATGATTTATATTTTTTATCTTTTAGGATCTCTGTATGGTGTATGCATCCATTAGTGACAAATGGATGGCCATAGTCGTAGGCGTCGTATTGCATACTTATGATATTTATATAAATTTTTGCATTATGTTTATAAGTTTTCACAGATGGTTCATACGGATGGGCGTACTGGTAGTGATGGTAATGTCGGTAGAGGTCGAGTTACAGGCCGTGGTGGCAGAGGAGGTAGGACGACATCATCTACCCCCTCTAGTAGAGGTCGTACAGCTTCCTCATCCCTCCCTCCACTTCGGATAGGATCATCACCATCTACCACCGACTCTGTTATGGCAAGTGCAGGACTTCCTCACACTCCCACTGACCCGATGGGGCCGACACAGCTGGTTAAGTAAACCATCATTTTGTGATTTAGATATATATTATAGTTTCTTTTAAGCATCTCTCTACTAACTTTTTTAATGCTTAACATTTTTTCCCTTTTGCAGGCTGCATCCCCTGCAAGCGAGGTAGGAGATGCTGCTTCGACACTTCAGCTAGAGTGGGGGAGGTGTGATCCACAGACTAAACGTATATGGGTTCGTCCTTTAGGCACCACAGAGTAAGTTGTAATTGTTACTAATGATGTACTAATGTGGCTTCTAGCATTGCTCAATCGTTATAATCAAATAAATTGATTTAATATTGTCAGGTTCGAACCTTATGATGAGATCATGAAATTCATTGATAATCAAATATTCCGTAATTTTAAACATGTATGGAGCACCTGGGGAGACGTTCCTAAAGAAACTCGAAATGGTTGGATGAATGAATTCCTGGTAAGTTATGTATATCTCGTTAATGCTAATGTTTTATTACAAAAATGTATACTAACTACACATTTGTCACCAATTTGTGTGTTAATCGAAAAAATTGGCAATTTACAGGATCATTATAGGTGGTTGCCCGAGGATCGCCATAACTTGGCAAGAGCTTGGCATCACAAAGCCACCACAATGTTCGCAGATAAACTGGATAAAGTAAGACATGACAAAGGCAAAAATGCATGGTGTAGTGAATCTTTAAAAATCCAATTGAAAGAAAAATGGAAAAACTGTCCTAAGTTTCAAAAGAGATCTGCTCAAAATAAGGAAAATAGGGCCAAGCAGGACACACCCACATATGCTGGAGGCTCGATTCCAATCAGCAAGCATCGACAAAGGATAGTAAGTATAAATTGTTTTCTAGTTCGGTATTCAACAATTCGTACTTGCAACTAATGAATTAATGATTTTCATTTGTATTTCCAGGAGGCTTCTGGAGAAGTGCCGCCTGAAAAGATTGATTGGGCTACCTTCGAGCGAACTCATTCCCAGCAGCCTGAAGCTGGTCAAAGGCGGTGGTTAGGCCCCAAAGTGAAGCTAATAGCGGTTTGATCATTTATTATTTGACGTTTGTTTTTTCTATGATGATTTATGTCATGTTTTACATGTCCATACGTGTGCTGGTTTTTATTTACTTGCAGGAAAATTATCAAAAATTTGAAGAGGAGAGGTCCTCACAGGCGGCGACAGACGGTCAATCCAGCTCCTCCTATTCCGATAATAGGAACATATTGGTTACAGCTGCAGGTGGATTCAACAAGAAAGGAAGGGTGGTCGGGCTGGGAGGATATGCTAGCCGACTGAAGCCTAGTAAGCGGCCCTCTACCCAGGTTGACAGTGTTTCTGCAGGTAAACTCAATGCATAGTTAATTCTTTTATATTTTCAATCTCTATTCTATTAATATTTTATTTTAAACATTTAACTTACTGTTTTATAATAATGTATTTGCAGATGAGCTTAAAAGGATGAGGGTGTCCCACTTCCAGATTCAGGAGCAATTGCATGCTACGAAGGAGCAATTGCATGCAACGACAGAGCAGCTAACTCAGCAAGCGGACTTTATGAAGCAGCAAGCTGACATTATGAAACAAATGCAGGAACAACTCCGGCTTTTAATGCAGGACAAGGAAGCCAACTGCAACAAGTCGAAGGGACCGGCGCCAGATGATGACCCTGATGATGATGACTTTGCTAGGACTTTAGAGGCATACTAGTTGTTGTTTGTATGTTTTACTTCTTTTAGGACTTCAGATATCTACAACTTTAAAGACATTTTAGTTGTAGATTTGATGGTTGTTGTTGTTCACTTTTGTTGATATACTATTTAATTTTAATTTAATTGTTTATCCAGTATTTTTTTGGATTTCTGTTGCTCAATTTATGTATTTATGTTCATTTGGAATCCTTGTTGTTTACAGGAAAATTAACAAAAGTTTAATACATTTTTTTATTTTAATTCCAGAATTTGTGAGGGAAATTTTCAAAATTCCCTTGCAAAATTCGTAGCATTTTGCAAGGGAAAATCAAAATGTTCCCTTGCAAAATTCATTGCATTTTGCGAGGGAAAATCAAAATGTTCCCTTGCAAAATTCGTTGCATTTTGCGAGGGAAAATCAAACAGTTCCCTTGCAAATTTTGCAACGGAAATTTAATACTCCCCTTGCAAATTCTGCTACGGAAATTTGCGAGGGAAATTATACTCAAAATTTCCGTCGCAATCTGCGAGGGAAAAACACTGTAGATAGGTCTGTTGTTAGCGAGGGAAATTTATTTTTTTGTAAGGGAAAATTTCCGTAGCAATTTGCGAGGGAATTGTCATATGACAAATTTCCCTTGCAAATCTATTTGCGACGAGGGTTTTAGCGAGGGACCGTGTTCCCTCGCAAATTCCGTCGCTGACAGGTTTTGCAAGGGAATTTGGTTGTTTTGCAAGGGAATTTTTCCCTTGCTGATTGTGAATTTTCTAGTAGTGGCTATAATAATTAATGGAGGGACCAACTTTGATAAATAATGAAAAACAGTAAGTCCCACTCCAAATGGCTCTACATGGGCTGATCATGAATCAAAAGGAAGGCAAATCAAATTTTTATTTAATTTATTTATCACCAATAAAACTAGTAACTTTTGAAACTAGTTAATTACAAGACTAGTAACTTTGAGATGTAACATAACACCAATTCATACTCATGCTACCAGAATTTTCCTAATATCCTTATACTTAACCATCATAATCTACATGTCACAAGCTTTCCAACGATATATTACAAGCCTTATTCTGACAAGTACAACCCAAGATACGTCCACCGTAAGTAGTAAATTGTAAATCCAATGTCACTTGAACAGGGTCGTGGACTATTTAATTTTTCTGTAATGATACACTGTCCAGTTTATTCTGTAATATTTATGACAAATACTAGATATCTTAATCTTTAATTTGTCATAAGAATCGTCTCGGTTCGTTGAGTAACGAAGGCGATATGAATTTCACAAACTCACTGTTGCTTGGTGTAAAAACTGTGACGGGATCGAACAATGCCCACTGATTTTTTTTGAAAACTTTAACGTGAGCTCCTAAAATTCTAATATTTTAGGACAAGAAAATAGACATCCTAAGGTTAAATTTGGTACCTCACACACTCTATTTGATTAAGAAATGAGTGAGATATGATTTATTTAAAATTGAACTCACTACTTCGTAAAATTCTGACAACACCATCAATTTTACTTCCATACGTTTTTACATTAAATTGTCCAAGCAATTTGAAATTTGTTCTCTTATCTACATATAACTTAAATTTAACATTTTTGGTCTAATTATGACTTGTGAGGCATATATTGGGCTTTCATTCTATTTTCTCATATTTTTCCCGTTCAGGGATTCTACCGGCTGATTCTATAGCAGTACAAAATATCCGGTAAAAGTGACTTTTTAAAAATACCCCAATATGGGTATCAATCTTGAACATTTCATATTCTAACCTCATTCATGATCTTTATATCATTAGATTAACTCTCTAACATAAATTCACTGTATTGGAGCTATTCTACAATCTATTACTCCTTCAGCAGTAAAAAACAGCAGATGAAAATTCACCTGACTAGAATACCCTCATTATGGATATCAACATTCTTAGAATTTCTTTCTCATTATGTTTATGACCACAAGGTCCTCATTATAACCCTCTAATTTAAAAGTTATATAAGTAAGGTAATTATATTCACCACACCTTTTAAAAAGATTTTGTTCTCAAAATCGGATCATACCTGATATCAAAATCGGGATATCGCCGGAGAATATCATCCTCCCGCTCTCATGTGGCGTCCTCAGGTGTCAATCCTTCCCATTGAATCTTGATCATGGGAATGACTCTATTTCGAAGCCGTTTCTCATCTCGAGCAAGAACCTTAGAAGGTCCCACAACGAACTTCAAATCCTTTTTAACCTCTATGTCATCAGGCTGTACAATGTGTGAATAATCAGATATATATTTGCGTAGCTAACTCACATGGAATACATCATGTAAATTCGCTAAGTTGGAAGGTAAGGCAAGTTAATACGCCATCGGTCCGACCCTTTTTATTATCTTGTATGACCCAATGAACTGTGGACTCAACTTTCTCACTCCCAAGACACGCCCTACACCTGTGGTTGGTGACAATCTAATAAATACATGATCCCCTTCAGAGAACTCAATGGGTCTGTGCTTTACATCATAATAACTCTTCTGACGACTTTGTGCTTTCTTCAGCCGTTCTCTAATCATCTCAATCTGTTCTGTAGTTTCTTGGACCAAGTCTGGCCCCAATAACTGTCTTTCTCCAATCTCTGTCCAACAAGTAGGTGCTCTACACCTACGACCATACAAGGCTTCATAAGGAACCGTGCCCAGACATGCATGATAACTGTTGTTGTAGGAGAACTCAATCAGTGGCAGGTACTTGTCCCAAGCATTACCCTGCTCTAACACACATGCTCTTAGCATGTCTTCCAGTACCAAAGGCCTCATGTAACGCTTCCCAGAAGCGTGAAGTAAACTTCGGATTTTGATCATTGACTATGCTTTCGGGAATGCCATGAAGCTTCACAATCTCTTTGATATAGTCTAGCTAGCTGCTCTGTGGAGAGAGTCGTCTTGACTGGAATAAAGTGGGCGGATTTAGTCAATCTACCAAACACAACCCATATAGAATCAAATCCAGCCTGACTTCTTGGTAATTTTTAACAACAAAGTCCATGGATATACTCGTCCACTTCCATTCTGGAATCTCTAATGATTGTAACAAACCCGAAGGTTTCTAATGCTTAATTTTTTTGTTTAGCATTTATTTCACTTTATTTTTATCAAACATACTTCACCATTTATTTCACTTTAGCATTTTATTTTTCTGTTTTGAGTATTTAGTTTGGATATTTTGGATTTGAGTATATCTCCGTTTTACTGATTAGTTGATGATTATTCTGTTTTACTGTTTAACAAGTGTGTGTGTGTGTGTGTGTGTGTGTGTGTGTGTGTGTTCCACCTGCGCAGAATTAGCTTCATTCGACTAGTGTAGTTTGTTGCTGAGGACATCAACTTTCTAAATCTGGGAATTGGGCGCATACATTATGCGATACCTGCTAACTGCGAAACTACACAACAGAGACATCTAACAGAAATATTTTTTTTGTTAAAAAGGGGAGATATTTTAACCTTTAATTTTTTATTTTACTTTTGCTGTTTTAATTCACTTACTGTTTAATTCAATTTTTTTTAGAAAAAAAATGAAAAACCCAAAAAAAAAATAGTGAATTCCTGAACAAGCATTCCTAGATTTTGCAAAAGCTCACTCAGCAATTAAATAGAGTGAATCATAAGAAGCATGATATTTGTGGAGCATTAAATTGTTTTATAATCTGAGAATGATGATTGCTCATTTGTATAACCGTTTTGATGAAAATTCTTAAATAATGCTTGATGTGAAATTTTGAAATTAGATTCTAGCCTGATTATAACTGTGAGGATTGAGTCTAAATAGAAATATAATTTTTTTCAGAGAGGCTTCATTGTAGTAGTCTTCTAGAACTTGATCTGTTTCTCTAGCTTGCATGCATTATTGACATGATAAAGGCACATGTATTTATTCTTGTTAACTTAGAGCCAAATAGCCTACCTAGAAGAAAATTTCCATTGTTAAGCCCTTTTGAGCCTTAGACCAATTTATTCAAAAACCTGATGAAATTACTTAACCCTGTTTCCATTGACACACCTTGAAAGAGATTGAAATGCCGATCCAAAGAAAAAGAATCAAGGTACTTCTCAAAAGAAAAAAGTTAAGTAAGGAAGAAGAAAAATGGTATGCAAAAATGCAGCTTAAAAAGAGAAAAGAAAGAAAACATCTGCAAACAATGAAAGAAAAGAAAAAAGTAGTGAAAAAGGGAATAAGAATCCCGAAATGACGAAAGGTAGCAGAAATAAAGATTGAGAAGGAAGCATTGTCAGAAATCTCAGTAGTCCAGTCTCAAAATAATCAGCCTTTGTCCAAAAGTTTCCTACCCCCAAACCAGGCCAAGTTATAACCTATCAAAGACCTTTTGATCAGTCTATGCATGTCAATTGGGTTCCTCAATCTTAAGAACTTGAGAATATGATCAAACCTATGAAATTACTACTACAATGACGGAATGAGTGTGAACCCATCAAACACTAGAGTGATTAGAGTTATACAATTATCTAGTGAGGAACATTCAAGTTATTATCTGAATTTCTTGATAAAACTGAAAAGCATTGTTTGAAGTTTTTAACAGGGAGTTATACATGCATAGCAGTCTGATCTCTTAAGATATTCATGTTCCATGTTTTTCTTCAAAGAGTTAATTATTGCTTCTAACTTTGATCTATTACATTGCTGAGGATAACAACGTTCAAATCCAGGAATTATTTGATATGCCTCCAGCATATATATGATTTTAAGCCAAAAAGAGAAAGAATCTTGATCAATCTTGAATAAAAAGGGCTAGAATTACTATTAATTTGATAAATCTCATTTAGATACCTTGTCACTGATTTTCTCACGATTTTGTAGGAAAATAAGACAAAAATCGAGAATCTCATTTTCTTACGATTCAAGAGGGATTACTAGGACACTAGGATTCTAATTGGGTTTAAGGGTTAAAATCACTAAGACATTATGGTTCAACTATTTTATAGGAAAATAATTAATTGTCTGCGCAAATCAATTAGTTAATTATAAAATACAATACAGGAATATAAGGGAGGATCGGAGGTGAAGTGCATCCTAGCTACAGTGTTTTTACAAATTTCAATCAATCTCATATTTTCTTGTCATTCTTGATACTCTTGCATGCGTTTTAATATTAATTGTTTTTAAAATTCCGTTTTTAAATTACAACAATCACTTACTTTCACAAATCAAAACAATTTTCTTTTCCAACTTAAGGGGAATAGCTAAATTAATACTTGGTGCATTAATCCTCGAGGAAACGATCTTTACTTATCATTTTATTACTTGAAACGAACGGTATACTTGCTTATTTCGCAACACGTCCCATAAACGTTGAATAAACATAAAAATGACTCGGGAGATTGAAATAAGCCATAAGCCTTACAGACCATCTCATACACTTTAATGAAACCCAATGCATTAGGGGTTAGTTGGGAGGGAGCTACATGAAGATGTTCCAGCGGCTTATAGATAAAAGGAGAAAAAGGAAGCCTTACTCCTAAGTTTAAAAAATAAAAAGCATACATCATAAGAAAATTTTTTGAAGAACTGCTTGTGCGCGATGAGCACACTCGCTCATTCATGGGAACCATAGATAATTCTCATTTATCATCAGCAACTCTGTTAGGGGTCAGATGAATAGTAGCTTTCAGCTCCTCCAATTCCCCTAGAGAGCTATAGATAGAAACTGTGTCTAACACAATGTCAGACACCCAATCTAGAGCCTCTTCATCTCGAATACCACGCGTACTCAAGCCATTCGCCTCAGGATCAAGCTTCTATTTTTTCTTTTTATCAGCCGCACCGCGCCTGGTCATGATCTCTTTGATTTGAGGCGAGATAAAATTTGGTTCAGAAGAGGAGGTGTTAGTAGAGCTAGAAGAAGTAGACGAGGAGCTAGCAAATGCAGACTTAAAGTTGTCAAAATTTCGTTTCTTGTATGGGTACCCAGCTGGGTAAATAACATTTAATGGCAGATGACTCAGACTTTTTTGTTTTGACTGATCGCGCACGATAGAAGGCGAAATACTGCGCGATGAAATTGAAGGGGAAGACTCGGAGTCTGGGGTATTAACAGCTTATGATCAAACCCAAAATTCGAAGTGGAATCACTTGATATGAAAATAAGATCTGTCATTTTGAGGAAAGTTTTTGGAAAAGGAGATGAACTTTGTTGCGACAAAGTTCTGGTTATCCTGCGATTAGATTTTCGGAACGTGGATCTAATTCAAAGCATCGGATAGAAGAAGAACAATTATCACTCAATTTAACTCTCTTCCAGGGGGCAGCACACTTGCCAGTTAGCCACGATTCCCCGGTCCCTAATGACCTCGACCTAGGTAAGGGCCTGTGTGGAGGACTGGTAGAGCCAGACCGTTTGGCTGTTCTGATAAAACCACAAACTTGTGATTATCAGACATGCCCAAGCTCCCATGCAAGAAGAAAACAACTATAAAACAGAACATGAAGCAACTATGGAGCAGAGAACATGCCTTAGTTTTATACTTCGAAAGAACAGATGAAAAGTAGGACGTGTCAACATCGAGAGAGATAACCCAGAAATAGAATGTCGAAGAAGAAAGCTTTCGCAACAAAGGTGAATGCTTAGAGTGATTTCCCTCCAACTAAGTAGCTCAGTACAAATATGAAAAGACACCGCAAGGAAACCCAAAAGGTTAAAACATGTTGAGTAAAACGGATAAAAAAAAGGGCACGTGGAAGGGAGGTAAAACGTTTAAAGCTTAAAACGACTCACGATTGTCATTAAACACCCACGTAATCACGATGGCATTTAATGCTTCTGACAGTTAAACATCTAATCAACTGTTCTAAGCGGCTAAGTAATGATGATTCTTCGACATTATATATGCGACATCAAGTGAACGCGCCACAGACATATCGCGTATAAAAAAATATATGTATATCTCCCGGCTTTGTAAAAACCAAAGCTGCGAGCTGGGGGCATTGATCTGGATAAAATACAATAGGCCCATCAAAGGTTAAAATCCAAAGAACGAGGCCTAAACCCACAAGGCCCAAAACAAGGCGTGATGTCCTCAATTGCGCATTAGATGGCGCGATGGTAACATCGCGCCAGAACCGCCTTTCAACATAACTTCAGAGATAAGGAAGAAAACAATGATACAAGTGAAAAACCATCGCGCCATTAAACAAATAAATATAAGACAGCACCGGCTTGCCACCACTCTACAAAGATAGCCTGACATAATGAGATAAGGCTAAGGAAGCACCAGCTGAACCTGCAGCCCATAAACAACCAATCAGAAGTCATACCTCCTATCAAAGGCGGCATCAGATTCACTATATAAACACAGGGTACATGCCCAAGTATGATAATCTAATTCAGTAAGATTACAACATAAGCCTGACTTTGATACTGACTTGAGCGTCGGAGTGTCATTGCAGGTACCTCCAGTCAGAATCATCGCGCCAAGGGAGAATCATACTCATCACATCATCAACATCTACACCAGCCCAGGAAACAGATAACCCAACCGTGTGTGATTAGGCCCGATACACATAGGTCAGCCCATATAGTATTGGTCTAATCAATAACCATACACTTGTTATTGCTGCACGTACAACAACTTTAGATATGATTTTACCATATAAATATTAAAAAAATATTATTATTGTTTAAAGGTGTGAAAAAAATTTCATGAACAAGGCTTATCTAGATCTATATTTATATACGTAGGAAATCATTTCAGTTTGTTCAAATTTTAAATATTTTTATTTTAAAAATGTTTATATAATTATTTTAAAAATAAATAATAGAAGATATTATAACAGAAATATTTTTCTAGAAAAAAAAACTGGGTAATTGAACAAAAGAATTAAAGTCTATTAATTTAGATAATTAAAGTCAACTTTTAAAATAATTTAAAGAAAACTTTTTAAATTATTAAGATTACAATAGATGTTTTTTCCCCGAGGCAAAAATATTATAAAAAAAAAATGAAAATTGGCAGACAAATTAATTCCTGTAAATACGGTAGCATAAAAAAAATTCATTCATATTCATTGTTAGTTATCATATACATTAGATCAAAGGAATAAGGTCAAGATCCAGATAAAGAAAAAATTGGGGTTGCACAATGTGATGCAATTGTCAACCTGAGCATCCATTTAAACCGCATTCAACTTCGCTTCCAACCATAACAAACATCACTTAGAAGCACAAAACGAAAACAAAATAGTAAGAGTAATACCCTCTCTCCCTTTTGTGTGATCCGAACAATTCTGAGCTTGAAGTTCCTTCCCACCATCACCATCATCGTCACAACCAATCTGAAACAAAACAAAAAATTGGAAAACCAAATCAAATGTACTCTTCTTCCCATCATCACATGCTCCGTACAGGATCCAGAAGCATCATCACTTGGTTGATCCTTATAACCATTGTACTTTACATCCTCTATTCTTTCAACCTTCTCCTCTTTAACAATGACCAACAAGATTGTTCAACTTCCACAACCATTTTAGATGACACTACAACCCAAGACCGCCTTCAAACCATTAGTTATAATATATCATCAACTACAGCTACCCTTGAACAGAATCAACGAATAGAAGAGAAAGAAACAAGACAGAATAATGATGAAGCAGAACAAGAAGAAGAAGAAGCTGGTGCTCATGCAGAAGAACCACAAGAAGAAGATGAAGAAGAAGAAAACAAATCCCCTGTGGTAGTTCGGTTAACCCCTAATCAAATGTCTGGTAGAAAAGAAACGGAGCTTAAACATATTGTTTTTGGGATAGCTGCTTCATCAAACTTATGGCACATTAGAAAAGAATACATCAAAATATGGTGGAGGCCTAAACAAACAAGAGGGGTTGTGTGGTTGGATAAAAATGTGAGGACTCAAAGAAATGAAGGGTTACCCGAGATTCGAATTTCAGGGAACACTTCGAAATTCAGATATTTGAATCGTCAGGGACAAAGGTCTGCATTGAGGATATCAAGGGTTGTGACAGAGACATTGAAGCTTGGAATGAAGGATGTGAGATGGTTCGTTATGGGTGATGATGACACTGTGTTCGTGGTTGATAATGTGGTTAGAGTTCTTTCCAAGTATGACCATAGACACTTCTATTATATTGGTAGCTCATCTGAGAGCCATGTTCAGAACATACATTTCTCATATGCTATGGCATATGGTGGTGGAGGATTTGCCATAAGCTACCCTTTGGCCAAGGAACTTGCAAAGATGCAAGATCGCTGCATTCAGCGTTACCCTGCTTTATATGGCAGTGATGATAGAATTCATGCTTGCATGGCTGAGCTAGGAGTGCCTCTCACTAAGGAAGCTGGCTTTCACCAGGTAATAATTAACAACAATAGCTTTCTTAAATTACAGTAACCTACACTCTCAATTTTAGTGGTTGATCTCACTTTTATTTGACGGTTTGTGAGATTAATAATCGAAGTACTTGAATATAAGTAGATCAACTCAACTATTAAGATGGGTATAAAACTTATTTTTCTTCCTTGATGCTATCCTTATTAGTATTATTATTATTAGGGGAAAAATGTTTGTGCTTTTAAATGACACAATCTTGTATTTTTTAGTGTTTAACACTATGTCTTAATGGTAAGACATAGTTATAATATGAAAAATTGTCTTTTTCTCTCTCTCTCCTCAGCTACTTCAGCTAATGTGAAAAAAGAAAAAGAACAACTTTTTCATATTATAACTATGTCTTACTAATAAAACATAATGTGAAAAATTAAAAGGACACCACTCGTGTCCTTTAAAAAGTATAAATACTTAACCCTTATTATTATTACTATTATTTGAAATGGTGTGTGATTTTAATTCTATTGGCTTGCTTATGCAGTATGATGTGTATGGAGACTTATTAGGCCTTTTAGGGGCACACCCTGTGGCTCCACTAGTATCATTGCACCACCTTGATGTGGTGCAACCGATATTTCCAAGGATGACAAGAGTTCGAGGCTTGAGGCACTTAATGGAATCTGTGAATCAGGACTCAGCTAGCATAATGCAACAATCAATATGCTATGACAAGAACAGATATTGGTCAATTTCTGTTTCGTGGGGTTATGTGGTTCAAATCCTGAGGGGAGTGTTGTCCCCTAGAGAACTAGAGATGCCGTCAAGAACGTTTCTAAATTGGTATAAAAGAGCTGATTACACTGCATATGCATTCAACACAAGGCCTGTTGCTAAACACCCCTGTCAGAAGCCCTTCATTTACTATATGAGCAGAACTCATTATGATTCGGCCACGAAACGAGTTGTTGGTGTTTATTCTCGTGACAAATCTAAATCTCCTTACTGCCGGTGGAAAATGGATTCACCGGAGAAAATCACTTCCATCGTAGTTACAAAAAGGCCAGATCCTTTGCGATGGAAAAAGGTAAGAATACTCAGAAAAACACAAAATAAAATATTGTCCTATTTATTTCCATTCATTCTTTCAATGAGAAAGAGCACTTCACACTTTCTTTCTAAGAAAATGGGATGTTGAACCACCAAAATGTGGATCGAACAGGATTATTCTAACTTAATTAGTAGTCTCAAGTTTTGTATTAAAACAATTGGGATGACGAGGATCAAACTCGTGATCACTTAATCATTGGCTTTCATACCTATTAAATAATCATCTCACCTAAAAATTCAAAAGAATAATTTAATAATCTTATATTAGACTTCTCTAATAATCATAAACTTATTTTGCAGTCACCGAGGAGAGACTGCTGTAGAATTCTGCCATCACGTAAGAGCACAACTCTGTACCTGTGGGTGGGCAATTGTAGAGAGGGTGAAGTTACTGAATTGTAGCATGAGAGTCTTGAATCCTTCTATGTCGTTCTTGTTTCTAATGTATTTCAAGACACACAAGGAATAAACAAGTCCAAAAGATGGAAATTGAGCTTCCAACTACATTCTCACTTTGTAGCCTCTAGATGCACCAGAAACCCCACACAATGCTAGTTAAACTGTTATCTCTGACTCTGACAAACCATAAGGTCACAAGCTAATGTTCCGTGATCTATAATATTTCTTTCTCTCTTTCCCTCTATGTAAATTAAACTAAGCATCTTAGCATTTGTAGTTGTCTTGGAATGTATTTTATGAAACATGTTCGTTATTGTTTCCCAATGTGATGGAGGACACTGAATTGTCATACTTTCAATGAAAGAGATTTTTTTTTTCTTTTGGGATAGAATGAAAGGAAAGGCCATGAAAAGTCCGTGATTTGTTGGTCTTAGAAGCTCCTTTGGCTTTACGTTCTGGCCAAATTTCACTGAACCTTGTAACTTAAAACATCCCATATTCCTCTTTGCTCTCTTTGTATTGCTTCTTATTGTCTATCGTTCACGTCTTTATCTAATCCCACAATAAAAATACATATAAAAATCTTGAAAACAAGAATGTGGCTAGTTATTGCAAGAGAAATGTTAACTTGCACATGAAAATAATTACCTCAGTCTTGCACTTTGAGGCCGTTTGTTTGGACTTCTCAAAAAAAAAAAAAAATTATCTCTCCCTTATTTTAGAAGTGCTTTTTATAAAAGTTAAAGCTATTTATATTTTTATAAAAATATTTAGTTTTTGAAAAAATATTTAACTTTTGACTTTTGCTTTTCTTAAAAGTTAAAATTTTTAGCTTCTGAAAAAAGTAAATTTTTGACTTTTTTTATGATTTCTGTTTTTTTTAAAAGTGGACATCCAGACGAACTAAAAATGAAAATTGTTTTTTTTTTTTTTTTTTTTTTTTTTTTTTTTTTTGAAAAAAAGCAACTTTTGAAGAAAAACAAAACTCATCCAAATGTCCTTTATTTGTTTGAAAAGTTTAAGGTAAAAAGATTATGAGTTGGAATGCATGTTTTTGTTATTTTATTATCTAAAAGTTTCCAAATGATGTAGGAAAAATAATGTGCAAATATAAATATTCTTATTCACTGTTGTAAAACTCGGCCCGGTCGGGCCGAGTCGACCCAAAACCTGACGAACCGGTCATCAGACCGGTTCGGGTCAAGTATTGGACCGGTCATGCATTGACCCAGTCAAACCCGGACAAAACCGGTGACTTGATCGGGTCATGCATTTTAAACAAAAAACCAAAACTATTTCATCTTATAAAAAAAATGTAAAACTCATTTTAATTTTTTTTGGTAATTTTATTTGCTAGTATATTCTTTTACAATGACCTCTCAGTTTCTACTACTGAAGTAATTTGTGGAATAATAAATTAGAAAATGTGACATATGTCATTTTAATGTAGTTGAATTGAAAAAATACGAGTTCAATGTCATTGAGAGATATGTTTATGGAAATTCTGAGTTGCAATTTAAATTAGCATAATAATAGCATGCATTTTTATTTATTTATGCTTCATTTTATTTGATCTTATTTAGTGAATTTCTTTTAATTCATTTTAGATATGAAGAATATAATTGAATTTATATGTTCATATTTATATATATTTTTATATATCTATATATATTCGGATCAACTGTTCCGATCAATGACCCACCAGTCTAATCAGTGATCCAATATCCTGATCAGGTCGATGCCCAAGTCGAATTTAACAAGACAGATGTTATTTGTGAGCATAGTAATATAGTATGACTTGTGTGTGGAGGTTAGGCCCCATTTCCATCCCCTAAACCAATTTTTTTTTTTTTTTTTTTTCAATTTCTGATGAAAGATCATCTCTATTTTCCCCCTGAAAAAATAATCAGTTTAAATTCACGTTGCAAAACTTCAGGGCAGAAATAAAAATGTTTACTTACGCTAAGATCTTGTAATAAATGTTAACGACACGAATTGAAGACCTTCCAATTTTTGAAGAAAGAAAAAATCTCTTTCATAATAATTTATAGAGGAAGTATATACTTATAACCTAAAATTTTTATAACCCGTTACAATTAAATCTTAACCGTTGATTTCTGTCAATCTAACGTTTATAATTTATTGGATTATATCTATTAATTTTTAATAAATTATAACTGTTTGATTGGTGAAAATCAATAGTTAAACTTTAATTGTAAGAGTTTGTAAAACTTTTAAATTGTAAATATATTCTTCCTCTAATTTATATTCTAAATATTCTTTGTATGTCCACAAAAGTTGATATTTATTTTATTTTATTAATTATCTTTATTAATTATAATTATAATTTATTTTATAGATTATATTCATCTCATTTAACATGAGATAACACATCTTCCTACATATATAATAAAGGTGGGTCCCACATTTATTTTTTCTTTCTCCAATCATTTGTGAGTCTCTCTTATTATTTTGTTTCATTAATATAAGATAACTTATCTACGTCAATATAAGAAAAATATTTCCCTTAATTTATACCATTAAACTTTTATTTTTATCCAAATAATACATGCCCCAAAGTCAGCATTACTTTTTTTTTTCCCCGTATGTAATACCCTATTTCTTTTCAAAATCGCTATCATGAAGACTCAAAATATGACTTCAAATTATTGAAAATAAGGATGAAGAATATCCACAATTGCATGCTTTCTAGTATAACAAAGCAAATAATATTTACTTGGACAATGATATTTCTGGAGAAGAGTCAACTCTTATTTTTTCTCACATTACATATACAATTAAAATTTTGATAAACATGATACAAAAAATTATAAAGTTGCAAGAGAAGAAGTGGTTTTTCTTTTTAAGGAAATTAACAGTCGGACAAAGAAATTTCAAACTAACCGGTAAGAACATGTTTTTAAAGCTTTAATCCGTTGTAATATCATTTTTGAAAAAGATTTAAGATCTTAATCTTGAGATTTTCTTCAAATTACACTAACCACAAAACGATAAATCTATCTAAATATCTTTAGAAAAATAAATTCAAACTTGGCATGATTGGTGTACAGGATAAAATAAGATCAGATATTATAAGACCCGATAGTATAAGTTCTGATTGTATAAGGTCTGATTAAATTTTAATACTATCCATCATTTGGTATGACATTGTATAAAATAATATATTGTATAAGATAATACTATCTAATGTTTGATAATGCACTGTAAAGTACTAGATGAGATAAAAATAAATATTTTTGACAAAAATATCCTTTAATAAAAAAATATATAAATCTTCTAAATATTTCATATAATATTAATTTTCATAAAAATCTAACGATAAATATGTCCAAAAAAATAAAATAATTTTTGTAGAAATAAAAATCTTCAACAATTTTTTTAAAAAAAGTTCATGACTATTGTATATATTAAATTAAAAAATGAATATGCACAATATCAAATATAAGACCTTGATTGCAACACTATTATTCCTCAACTCTAGAAAATTAAGGATACATCGATTTTGCTCACACCATTTATATCATTATCTATTTGAATACTTCAAGTTCTCAAGCAGCAGAGGCCAAAGAAAAAAATAAATAAATAGAGAATTCACAGTTGAAATAACCATAGTACAATCCTTCACAGTTGGTATCCTGTGTGCTATTGTGATTACTGTACAATCTGCAAACTCAGTCGTAATAGTTTTCTGCAGAATCAAATCGTTTGCATTATCAATTGATGCAGTTGCTTCTTTCAGCACCAATATCCTACTCCTCTTCAAAAGAGCACACCCCAAACAGAATAACTGCCTTTGTCCCATGCTCTAGTTTGATCCATCTTCAACAACTGTGTAAAAATTTGTTACCAATCATTACTACTAACATGAAAGAAATGCTTGCTGCTTAGTTACAAATCTAACATGTACAACAGGGGGTGAAAAGGTGAAGCAAGAGTGAAGTGCAGATATAAAGCATAAAACCCATAAAGAACAGGGCTACTATTGTTTGAAGTAGTAAAGCTGTTGTCAGTATATCACAATAACACATAAAGATCCTGTTAAATATAGTTAAAATTTATTCTTTCTTTGATAGTCCCTTAAAAAGCAGGTCCGGAATTTGTTTAAATTTAGGGTTGGGTGCAAAGGGAAATTATGGAAATAGATCAAGTAAGTCTACGGGAGAAAGGGTTTGTTTGAATGTACTAAAAATAAGGGGCTTGTTTGAGAGGATTCCACATCCATGGATTTCCCTCTTCAATGGATATAGTCATAAAGCCACATTCATGCCTTTGCAAAGTCAAAACAAAAATAAAAGGAACAAATCTCATCCATCTAAGACAAGACTGTCTCTTCATAGTGCAATAACAACATTATAATTCATCAAACTAATTGAAAGAGAGACGAGATTACAGCTTCAGTTAACAATTTTTTTTAGAAGGAGAAGGATATTGTAAGAATCAAGTTGTGTTACTACTATGTTACTATCAATCAATCTTACCGTTAGATTATTTATGTTGATCCAACGGTTATATTTATTTCTATCTTTGTATGATCATGATTTTTCAAATTTAATATTTTATATTTGTTTTCACTTTTGTATGGTTATGATTTCTCATATTTAACGCTTTCACTTTATATATGAGAAATCGTAACCATGCAAAGGTGAAAAGATACATTTCCCCCCCTAAAATAAAATAATGTATAACTTAATCATCGGCTACGAGGGGATGGGATTAAACTTAATAAGATCACGATGTATTAGGCGTAAACCCTTCTCGTATCTCTTCCCCATTCTAACCCTTGCTTTGAAAAGTTGCTTCAATTCTTCAATGGCTTCGACGCTTGAGAAACTACTGAGAAAATCACTACCACCCACAACAAGATTCATCAATAGCTTTAATCCCTTGCAAGCACCCAATCCAATTGTTGCTCTTCATCGAGAATGTCACCGACCCACGACCCCAATTCCATTAATGGAACACTTCCCTTCTGGGTCTGCGTCATGTTCAACCGTGATCTTTCCTAGCTTCCCTTTTGGGTTTTTTTCAAAACCCATTTTTGCTAGTGGGTTTTGCTTCCCTGAGGTTGAGGACGCAGATTTGGAAGATTCTCGAGCCAGCTGGGCTGATAGCACGTAGAAGAAGAAGAAGAGGAAGATGAACAAGCACAAGTACCAGAAGTTGAGGAAGCGCATGAGGAGACAGTCTTAGGTGAGGGTTCAATGGTTGGTGTTTTTTGGGGGCAATGGGAATGAGAATGCATTGAATGATCTTGATGAATTAATTTCCTGATTCTGTATTATTTTTTAAAAAAGGAAAGGATATTGTAACACTAAGTTGTGTTCTTATCATGTTACTACCAATCAATCTCACAATTAGATCGTTTATGTTTATCCAACGGTTATATTTATTTCCATCTTTGTATGGTTATAATTTCTCAAATTTAATATTTTATATTGAAATTTTTTTTGTTATTTTAAATGACACAAAGTTATGTCATTTTTAATGAAACTATGTCCTGTTTTACATTCATTTTTTTTATTTCCAATTTTATAAATTATATAAATTTAGAGTTTATTAATATCATGTTAAAGGAGACATGTTATTTCATATCATAGAATGTGAATTCTACAACTTAAAAAATAAAAAAAAGAAAAGAAAAAGCGTCACAATTATCGAAAGATGTTATCACATGTAACATAAAATAATTTTTTTCATAAATTTATACTATACAATAATCATATCAAACAACTAAAAATATGATAATATATAATTAAATTTATAGTATCAAATCGTATGCATCACGTCTCTAACAGTTTGTTCATTCCATAAAAAGAGTATTTGAGGGGAGTAGGTGAGGAACCTAATAATATAATATTTAAATATGCCAATTATATAATGTGCAAGCGAACCCTCTCTCTGGTGACTGTTGACTAGTGTTGCTGTTATTATTGCTATAAGCAGAGGGAAGAAAGAAAGGAAGAAAGAGTTGAAGAATGAGCAGCAGCGCGGGAAAGGTGGTGTGTGTAACCGGTGCTTCCGGTTATATAGCTTCATGGATCGTTAAATTCCTTCTCCATCGCGGTTACACTGTCAAGGCCACTGTTCGCGACACAAGTCTGTTTTCTTTTCTTTCTTTTAATTATTATTATCATTATTATTTGGTTCTCTTGTTTGTGATTATTGATTGATATAGTTCTTCTAAAATTAAAAGATTAATTGTGTCCAGATGATCCCAAAAAGATCGAGCACTTGATTAACCTTGATGGTGCTAAGGAGAGATTGCACCTGTTTAAGGCAAATCTTCTAGAAGAAGGTTCCTTTGACTCTGTTGTTCAAGGCTGTCATGGTGTTTTTCATACTGCATCTCCATTTTATCATGATGTCAAGGATCCGCAGGTTCATTTCCCTTTTAGTTTACATTTAATTTATAATTCTTCGATGTATGTGTTTTTTTTTTTTCCGAGACACAACGGTGGAGTTGACTATTTTTCTTATTTTTTTCTTATTTTTTTTAAAAAAATTAAATTTCAGGTTGAATTATTAGATCCAGCTGTGAAGGGAACTCTGAATGTTCTTAAATCATGTGTGAAATCGCCATCTCTGAAACGTGTTGTTTTAACCTCTTCTGTTGCTGCAGTTGCATATAGTGGAAAGCCTCGAACTCCCGATGTAGTAGTTGATGGGACTTGGTTTTCAGATCCTGATTTCTGTAGGGAATCAAAGGTTTGTTCCGTTTTCCCTTAAAGTCATTCTTTTGTTCAGAGTCTACTTATTATATGCTACTCAAATCCTTGAAAAAAATAAAAAAAATATGCTACTCAAATCCTTGAAAAAAAAAAAAAACCATTGGATGAATGCATTTAGGGCAAAAAATCTTCTATGCCTTGCTTTCCTAAGAACCTAAAAGCCTCATATGCATTAAAATTGATCTATATCTGTTGCTTTCCTTCCTCTTCCCTTTGAAAGTTTGTATATGTTGCTCTTGCCTATTCATTTGTTAAGAGTTGGGAATTGGGTTACTATGCTTTCTATCTGAAAGGTCATTTATGCGCCTTCAGGGACGATTCTAGGAATCAACTTATGAAGGGGCCAAAATTATAAAAGTCAAGAATCAATATATTAAAACAAAAATTTGTAAGTTGAAAAATTAAATACATGATACCTTTATCGAAGTTGAGCGCGGGGCTCCTTGATATCATAAAATTCATAATAATTGAATATGTGTGAACTTTTTCAGCAATTTTTCTTTCAATATAACTGACTAGACTGTCAGCCTCCATCTTGTTTCTGAGCCTGTTTCTGACTATTCATTGCTGAAAATGATCTCTCACTTGTACTTGTAGAAACAGGAAGTGTCAACACTAAAATACTAAGGGAAGAAAACAATCAATCAAATGATAAATCTCAGATTTTCCTGTTTACACTAGTTCTAGGCATAACTCAGAAAATATTGACAAGTGCTTCAGTTTAGGATGATGAGGCACATCAAGCTCATAATATTGTGCTTGTACTCTAAGATGCAATCTCTATAGCTTTGTGCAATCATCAGGATAAAATCTAGTTGCCGATTCCCAAATATGATCAACATTTGGTAATTTATAATTATCTTTTGGATCTAAGGCGGCGCTGAAAGTAAGCAAGTCCACAATTTTATGATAAAATCTGCTATTCATTCCTTGCAACTGTGTGTCTATAGTAGCAGTAAAAAGATTGACATGATAGTGATGTTCAATTGAAACATATTCAACAGGCTGTTCAGAAATGACTAACAGATTTATTATTGAAAAGAAGATTACACAATTGGAATACAGGTTTAATGACTTGGGAATGGAGTGACCTAGTCTACAATGCCACAGTGTATATGTGGAGGCTTAGATGCAACTAGAGTAGAAAGAGTTCGTCCCTTGAGATTTGACAAAATTATTAGTAGGTCGAAACTCAAACTTATGGACACAAATTAGGTTCTTAGTGATGAATGAAACAAGTAAAAGATTTGTGTGTGAATGATTGGTGAGGGTGTATGGTTGAAGAAAGTGATGTGGAACCCAGAGAAACAATAGGCAATCCTTGACCATTACCCATAAGAATTTGGTCTCTGCAATCTAGATAATGACCCTGAAGCAAGTTTTATGGACTATAATACATGATGTGTTGCACCTGAATCAGCACACTAGTTTTGACCAATCGAGGGCTCAAGTATCGCGAGATAAGCGATGGGAGAAGGCCTTTGAGTTTGAATAGAATGAATAGATAGAGCACAGTAGGAGTTCAGAACTTGGTGCACTAAGGAGACAATGAGGTACTAGTTGCACTGAAGGAGGTGCTGGTTGCACTTGAGACAGTGGATGGCATGGCAGAGTAGGGTACTATGAAGTATAGGACTGTTGCACTAGTGGTGAAGCTTGAGAATGAAGAACAAGAGCTAGAGTTGGAGCTTCAGTGCAGGTTGGATCAAACCTGTAGTAGCAGATTGTGGTATCATAGCCATATTTGTGACACAGTTGACATTCAATGAAGCTTATATGGCAGCCACAAACACCCTTCTCTAAGCGATGCCCACTGCCATGGCGGCCACCGCGGGTGGGCCTAAAACCATGATAATTGAAAGGTGACCCAAACATAGGTTGTTGCAGCTGCTGTGGCAGAGAAAACTGATCACCAGTGCCAAAGCCTGGGGAAATGGTACTGAAGGCTACATGGAGGATGTCAATTGGTAAGAAGTTTCAGTGTACTTGGAAATAATGTTCGGTGGTTTGTGAGTTGCGTCGGTAGAGAGTGAGGATTAGTGATTAAATCCTTCCCTTTTAAAATACATGTTAAAGTAGTCTGTGCATTGTCAGTGCGGAATCTTTTAATTTTGGTACCAAATTGTTTTTTATCATGGCATGAAAATAGGGAAGGATGGTTAGCAAAAAAATCAATGTGACCCAAGTGCAATCATCAATAAATGTCACAGACCAACAACGTGCTCCAGAGATATTAGGAATAGAAGATGGTCCTCATATGTCACTACGAACTAACTCAAATGGTGAGGTGCTCGTATTATTGCGAATGGGAAACGTTACACGCTTATGTTTGGCAAACTCACAAATTCCACAATGGAAGTTGGAAACATCAACTTTAGAAAATAGGGAGGGATACATGGATTTGACAATTTGGAATGATGGGTGACCTAAGTGACGATGATGAAGCCAGATTGGAAAGAACATCAGAACCCTTATAGGTCAGCTACAAAAACCTGTCCGGGCATTTCAATGAGGTAGAGACTTTCTAACTCTGGTTGAGATGATTCTTTTGCGTGTACATTTTGTAGTCGCAGTTCACGAGACTGAACTTGAGTGGTATGGTTTTCTTCCTCGTGGCCAATGTGGCTGGCGTTTTCATCTTCGGAAGCAATTACGGACAAGTTTTGGAAGGTTCAAACAAAAAGAGAGATTGGCTATAAAGCCGTGAGTAGCCAAAAGATATGGCAATGAAGGCCAAGAGAATTTATAAAGAATGGCAATAAAGGCCAAAAAATTTCAGAGGGCTGTGGAGGCAATGGTCAGAGCAGTCTTGGATCAGAAGTACTCTGATACCATGTGCAGAAAAAATAAAATATGAAGATGAAATAATACTTGCACTTTTTGGCTGAATTGCTTGGCTTAAAACAAACCAAGCACTCTACATCTATTTATATTCAAAGGGAGAATAAATACAAAAAATGCATATGATATTTACTAGAGTCTTTCACTCTTCCTAGGTGATTATTTTTAAAGTATATTTAATTCTTTGTGCTCCACTATCTCCATTAATCATGCTCCACTATCTATATTAATTACGAAATCACCCAAATAATTTATTTACAACAATTTTCCACATGCCTTAGTTGTATGCTTGCTATCACTTTGAAATTTAGATGCGCCCTTATATTTGATCTCACTACAGAATTTGGTATCCGAATGCATTATTTTAACTTCGTTCCCAATGAAGACTAGATCTTGATTCTTATGACTGAATTGAGTTCGTTGTGATCTTGAGATTCTGTACCTGTAATTCTGATGCAGAGATTGTCCAGTAAACTTTTTAAAGTGCTTCACTTGTTTACCTAATATTGTTTGAGAACAACTTAGTAGCTTCAATCTTATATGCTCTAGACAATTGCTATTTAGCTATGATGATAATGTATTTATCCCAACGTAAAATTGTAATAATTTTTCTCATATTATGCTACCATGCTCTTCAACATTCTTGCCATTTCTTATTTATGTTTTCAGCTGTGGTATGTGCTTTCAAAGACTCTGGCTGAAGATGCTGCCTGGAAATTTGTGAAAGAAAACAACATTGACATGGTTACTATTAACCCAGCAATGGTGATCGGGCCTCTCTTGCAACCAGTCCTTAACACTAGTGCTGCTTCAATTTTAAACGTAGTTAACGGTAATTATTATTTACATGCTATACTGTACAAATGTCTATTATCCGCTTTGTCTGCATCCGGATTACATGGTTTTGAACTCAATTGCTTTTTCTGTATCAAGCAAAATGTAGAGGGAAATAAAAAATATTAAAATGGAAATGAAAATAAAGAAAAGGAGGGTTATTATAAGTACAATCCACATGTCCATTTGAGAAATGCGCATTTTAATCGTAACCGTTATTGTTGATCTGGAAGAGAGTATATTCCCTTTTTATGTCTAGCTTGATTATTGTCTAATTTTTTTTTAAATATCATCGATTATTTTCAATATGTCATTGGTTGGCTATTGAAGTATTTAATTGTTATTTTAATGAATATTAGCGGTGCCTATGTGCTTCAAATATATTCATTTTTCCACTGGACAAGATTTTGTCGTCGTACATAATATACGAATTAAGAGTATGAATGTATTGTATTTAACTGTATGTAAAATTGTACAAGAACCCCCTATTTAAAGAGGTTAAATGACCTAATGGGTTAAGCCCAAATAATCTTCTAGAATAATCTAAAAATAAAATAATAATACAATACAATATTATTCTAACACCCCCTTCAAGCTGGCGCATATATATCATAAGCTCCCAGCTTGTTACATATATGATCTATTCGGGGACCTCTAAGAGCCTTGGTGAAAACATCTGCAAGTTGATCACTAGAATTGACAAATGTTGTCTCGATCTCTCTTGATTGAATCTTCTCTCTAACAAAGTGACAGTTAATTTCTATATGTTTGGTCCTCTCATGAAAGACTGGGTTAGAGGATATGTGCAATGCGGCTTGATTGTCACAAATGAGTTTCACGGGCCGTTGTTCACAAAGATGTAGTTCCTTAAGCAATTGTCTCAGCCAGATGAGCTCACAAGTTGCATTTCCCATTGCCCAATATTTTGCCTCTACACTTGACCTGGCGACCACAGTTTGCTTCTTACTCTTCCAAGAGATCAAATTTCCTCCGAGGAGAACACAATGCCCCGAGGTGGAGCGTCTATCTGCCCAGTCAGCATTTGAATAGCTAGACACCTCTGCATTCCCTTTATTTGTGTATAACAAACATCTTCCTGGTGCTCTTTTGATATATCGAAGAATCCTGACGACTGCATCCCAATGAGAGTCACAAGAAGAGTCAAGGAATTGACTTGCCACACTAATTGCAAAAGAGATATCTGGCCTTGTCACAGTAAGATAGTTCAACTTTCCAACTAATCGGCGGTAACAACCAGGGTCTGCCAATGGCTTCCCCTGTCCGCGTAATAGCTTAACATTAGGATCCATAGATGTATCAATGGGTTTACATTCCAACATACCAGTCTCATCTAGGATATCCAGTGCATACTTCCTCTGACAAATGGAAATGCCCTGCCTAGACTGTGCCACTTCGATTCCTAAGAAATATTGAAGTTTGCCAAGATCTTTGGTCTGAAATTGATTGAATAAATACTTTTTAAACTGATCAATCCCATCTTGATCGCTGCCAGTAATAATGATGTCATCAACATACACCAGGAGATAGATGCACTGGCCAGAGTAGCTATGCCCATAGAAGACAGAATGATCGGCTTTTCTTCGGGTTAAATCGAAAGGTTGAACGGGGGAATTAAAGCGACTAAACCAAGCCTGAGGAGACTGCTTCAGGCCATATAAAGATTTGTGAAGCTTACATACAATTCCAGAACTCTCCCCGTTAGCAACAAAACATGGTTGTTGCTCCATATATATTTCCTCCTGCAAGTCACTATGTAAGAACGGAGACCCACTATGAACGGAGACCAGATATGGAAAGAGGACGAGAAGGCGAGCAAGACGGTGGTGGTCCGGCCCGGAACGATGGCTGGACGGTGGCTCACGCATTGGAAAAGTGGATCAGCCGCCGAGAACTTCCACCAGCATGTGGCTGCTTCGATGACGGCGCGACTTGGATAACGAGGTCGCCTCCTCGAGCTGGTCCTGCTCACGTGGTTGTTGGCCGGAAAACTTGCCGGAAAAATGATCCGGCGGTGGTGAACAGTGGTGGATGGTGATTTCCGGCTATGAATGGAGGCTGATGATGGTTTTTCTGACGATCTGAGGTTGAGGACAAGCAATTGGTGACTAACTGAGGGTTAGGTTCTAAAAGAGGGTTGCCAGTATGATGCATGGCAGAATGACTTGCCTGAATGATGCATGGCAAGATTTTTCTGTGGAAGCAAGGTTTCCCCGAACCAAGCTCTAATACCAAATTAAGAGTATGAATGTATTGTATTTAACTATATGTAAAACTTTACAAGAGCCCTCTATTTAAAGAGGTTAAATGACCTAATGGGCTAAGCTCAAATAATCTTTTAGAATAATTTAAAAATAAAATAAAATAACAATAATACAATACAATATTATTTCTAACATGAAGAAACTCTTTCACTGCCATGATGCAGGTGCACAATCATTTCCAAATGCTTCTTTTGGATGGATCAATGTGAAAGATGTTGCAAACGCCCATATTCAGGCCTATGAGATTGCTTCAGCTAGTGGAAGATATTGTTTGGTTGAGAGAGTTGTTCATTACTCAGAAATTGTGAAGATTTTACGTGATCTGTACCCGACACTACAACTTCCAGAGAAGTAAGTTCAATTATTTTCTTAATTTCAAGAATGCATATAATTTATATAAATATATGAATGCTAATCCCCATTTGCTGTACCCCATTCTTTTAATGCTTTACGTGCCTGTTTGAAAACTCAATTCAGTGCTGAAAATGAAAAGACTCAGCATCTATATTGAATTAATGTTGTTTATTTAATGCATATAGAAAATGTAATCAAGTAGAAAAGTGCAGAAAATAGTCAACAATTGAGAGGTCACTCAATGAATTTGAAAATAACCCTTACCTTATTTAAATCATTTAATGAAACTATTCCACTTTAATATAGGCTTATTCATTATGTTAAATTCAATATCTTCCTTATTTACAATATAAGCACTTAAAATATTTCGAACACTGCAAATTCAGAACTTAATTTTCCTCTCTCGAAATGCAGTGCTGAACTTTTCACTTTTACTAAACTTTACCCTCTGTAAAATACCTATTCAACTCAAAAGTTTAAGTTGTTAGGTAAAGGTCACATTAATGGTTTTATATTATATTTCCTTAGCACCCCTCTCTCTCTCTCTGTTTTTTGCTCATCTTCTTGCCAAGTGTTGTAGTTGGCGTATTAATGAAAGGTTTTTATAGTTGCCATAGTTATTACTCCTGATTTTTTTGTAAAATTTTATTGTATGATTTGGAGCTAGCCCGTAGATAACTCATTAATTTGTGACTTTTTATTTCAAAGAATAACTTAACTTATGTTTTTATGCTTTAGTAATTGCTTTCTGCACTATATTGTCATCTTAGATGATGGATATATTATTACACATGTAGCATAAGCATAGTTGAATCGGTTCAATAACCGAACCACTTTGTTTGACCAGTTCGAAAATTAAAAGAACCAAACAGGTTCTTTTTCTTTAAATACTAGTATTTTTTCACTTTTTTTTTTTTTTACTTTTTATCGTAAAACTGGTTCAAAATTGGTTCGGAACCAAAATCAGTTCTAAACCCAATTTGGTACCAAAACTGGTTCTTAAAAACTAAAATTGGTTGAGTTTGCCAAATGAAACACTAAAACCAGTTTGGTTTTCAAACCAAACCATTGTCGAACCGAACCGAACCATGTCCATCCTTATAGACATCTACCTTAACATCTGGCCTATTTGCTAGCCAACATTTAGCTCCGTATAACATAGCAAGCGTTATTGTTGTTCTATAGAATTTTCTTTTTCGTTTGACAGGAATTTTGCAATCATACAAAAATCTTGATTCACTGCTCTGTCTCTGTTTCATCCATCCAACTTTGATTCTATGGTTTATGACTCTGTCTCATCAATCTTCCCCTTTCTTACAAAATTGATCCCTAGATATCTAAAAGCATCTTTCTTTGGGACCTTTCCAAGCAAATATGTAGAATATGTAGAATATTCTAGATAGTATTTATTGATGTAGTTAGTAGTTGTATATTTAGTTGGTAGTTGTATATTTATTGATGTAGTTTGTGGTTGTATATTTATTAAAGTAGTTGAGGTAGTTGGATGTACTCAATATAAAAAGGACCCATTGGGTCTCTCAATGAATCAAGAAAGTATTATTCAGATAAAACACTTCTTCCACTTCTTCTTTTCTTCATGGTATCAGAGCTGGTTATATTCCAGTCTCTTCCCCGTTCTGATTTATTTTTAAGTCATTTTCCTATTTCTTTTTTTTTGTTTTAGCCACTGCCCAAGCCAGAATCCTTACCTAGACACCTCCAACCACGAAACCAAGGCCACCATTAGGTTCAGAACAAGATTCTGAGCCAGCCCACAGAAGACCCGTAGCAGTACTGTTTATTACTGTAGCAGTACTGTTCATTACTGTAGCAATTACTGTTTCACTGTAGCCAAGATTGCTCTCATTCATTGATTTTTGCGAGCAACCCTCTTCCTGTTTTGAGGGTCAAAATCGTATTTGGAGGAACTTTTTTCTGGGTACCTGTTGTTAGAAAACCATGGACGTTGAAAATTTTGAAAATTCGTCTTTTCAGAAATTGATGTCTCAACCTGCTGAGGCAACTAGTCATGTTGCTCAAAAAGGTATGGCATTCCATGTTGAACATAGTAATCGTTGGATCCTTGATTCAGGAGCCTCTGATCACATGACAGGTAATGCAACCTTATTTTTCTCCTATACCCCTTACTATCACCCGTCACGAAGAAGAACAGCTGATGGGAATTTCTCCACTATTGCGGGAAAGGGATCCATTAAACTTTATGAGCATATTATTTTGAACTCAGTATTTCATGTTCCCTCTCTTACTTGTAATCTCATCTCTATTAGCAAACTTACTGCTGAGTTGCATTGTGTTGCTAAGTTCTCTGCAAATGCTTGTATCTTTCAAGAACAGGACTCCGGGATGATGATTGGCAGTGCTAGAGAGGAAGAAGGGCTATACTATTTTACAGATGTTCATTGTGAAAAGAGGATTTTTTCGAACCACTCTCTATGTTTATCAGATGACTGTAATGATGTTTTGTTATGGCATCGTAGGTTGGGACACCCAAATTTTGTTTATCTCCAGAAGTTATTGCCGAACTTATTTATCAATAAAAAGCCAAGTTCCCTTCTTTGTGATATTTGTCAGCCTGCAAAGCACTCTCGTGTCACTTATTCTCCTAAGAAATATCATGAATCTTCTCCCTTTACATTGATTCATAGTGATATTTGGGGACCTGCTCGTGAAAAAAATGTCTCGGGTGCTCGTTGGTTTATTACTTTCATTGATGATCATTCTAGGGTATGTTGGGTATATCTCTTAAAAGATAAGTCTGAGGCAGCATCCACTTTTAAAAACTTTCATGCTATGATTCAAACTCAATTTCAGACTTCTATCAAAATTCTGCGAACAGACAATGGTACTGAATATTTTAATTCAGTTCTTGGAGATTACCTAAACCAGCATGAAATTATTCATCAAAGTTCTTGTCCTAACACCCCTCAACAAAATGGGGTGGCTGAAAGGAAAAATAGACATCTAATTGAAGTTGCTCGAGCTCTTTTATTCACGATACATGTCCCTAAATATCTGTGGGGGGAAGCCGTCTTGACAACCTGTTATCTCATTAATCGGATGCCTTCTCGGGTACTAAATTTTCATTCTCCTTTATCCTGTCTTACTAAATCTTTTCCCTATTTCAGTGCTCTTTCTTCTCTTCCTCCCAAAATATTTGGCTGTGTGGTTTTTGTGCATATTCCTCCACATCAAAGGTCCAAACTTGACCCTAAATCCATCAGATGTGTCTTCATAGGATATTCCCCTAATCAAAAAGGTTATAAGTGTTACTCACCTTCTCTCCGTAAGGTTTTTGTTTCCATGGATGTTACCTTTTATGAGACACAATCCTTTTTTCCCCCGACTTCTCTTCAGGGGGAGTCTATTGGTATTGGTATGGATGAAGATAAGCTTGGGAAACCAAATGATGTTGCTGTCTTACCTTTGCCTTTGGAAACAGGTGGAGTTATTGGGAAGGAAACAGGGGGAGCAACTATACCTGAATCTAATGATCCTCCTTGTGATCCTCCTAGTAAATGGGGAAAATTTTACAGCAGGCGCAAAACACATGAAGATACTCTAGACTGCCAGGATCCTGACTCGAGTCCTTGTTCCAGCAACCCACTTGAATGTACTAGTACAACCAACGTTGATATGCCTATTGCTCTTCGGAAAGGTACTAGATCTTGCACTGCTCATCCTATTTCCCATTATATCTCATATGAAAAGTTGTCTCCAGGTTTTCGTGCTTTCAACATTATGTTAGATAGTACCAGGATACCCAAAAATATCCAAGAAGCACTTGATGACCCAAAATGAAGGAATGCAGTATTAGAAGAAATGGATGCACTTACGAAAAATGGAACATGGGAGTTTGTGACATTACCTAAAGGAAAGAAAACTGTTGGTTGCAAGTGGGTGTTCACAATAAAATTCAATGCAGACAATAGCATCAATAGGTATAAGGCCAGATTAGTTGCTAAGGGATTTACTCAGACTCATGGGATAGATTATCAGGAGACATTTGCTCCTGTTGCCAAACTTAACACTATCCGCGTTCTGCTATCTCTTGCCGCCAACCTTGATTGGCCATTGCAACAGTTAGATGTTAAGAATGCCTTCTTGAATGGTGATCTCCATGAGGAAGTTTACATGGATCCACCTCCTGGTTTTGAAAAAGGGGATGGTTCCGTGTGCAAGTTGCAGAAGTCTCTCTATGGACTTAAACAATCTCCCAGAGAATGGTTTGGGAAATTTACTCAAGTTGTTAAGGGAAGAGGGTTCACCCAAGCTCAGACTGATCACACTTTATTTTTTAAACACTCCGACAAAGGAAGAATTGCTATTCTGATCGTTTATGTTGATGACATAATTGTCACTGGTAATGATAGCGAGGAGATAACCTCTTTAAAAAAATGTTTAGCTGACCAGTTTGAACTAAAAGATCTTGGATCTCTCAAATATTTCCTTGGCATGGAAATTGCTCGGAGTAAGGAAGGAATTTCTTTAACTCAGAAAAAATACATTCTAGACCTGTTGCAAGAAACAGGTATGCTTGGGTGCAAGCCGGCAGAGACTCCA